GTGTACCTATACCCATTTTAATTGATGTGACTGGTTTTAGTACTTTAAAAAATATAAATAGTCGGTGTAACATTTATTTAACAACAAAGAATGTCCACCATGCTATCTGGATGATTATAGATAAATAAATGAATGATACAAATAAAATAATGATGTTACATATTTCACAAAAGTAATTATATTACATTAAATTGTTACAACTCAATTAATTGTCACCTGGTTGAGAGTCAAGTGATCAACTATTTCTACCACATGTATATGTTATAGAGATGGAAGGTTCGTTATAGAGTGAACTGTAGTAAGTGGAAAACTATAAATAAGAATCACAAAATAAATAAATTGTTTAAAATAATAGTAAATTTTCACTAATACACTAAATAAAAAATAAAGTAAACATACATAGTCAAATAAAAGCCAACATAAAGATCCATATCAATACAGTATAGTGAGAAAGTCCTGGAAGAATTAATGTTATATGCTCTGTATATAATTTGTACCTTTTATGCATTTTCATGGTGTGGTCCTAATTCCTTCATAGAGAATAAATTATTATTATTAAAGTTAGTTTATTTCACTATTTTTTATTATAAGAAAAGCATATTAATATATATCTCTCTTTTTTTTTAAAGAAAATAAAAGTTGCATATACCTTGCTCTTTCACTAAAGAAATATATAAAAGCATAGGCACAACTATTAGTGACATTTAAAGGCATTTGTAATTTTGATCTTAAAGTTGAAACAAAATAAAATAGATTGAAAAGAAGAAGAATCGAATTAGTAAATGAATGGAAAACATTTTAGAAGTTTTTTATATTCATACTTCATATATGTTGCTTGTTCTTAATCATTCATATATTTTATGATAAATTTTTATCTACCTTATATGTTTTATATTGAATTCCATTTATTTGGCTAAAAATCATGCAATTTTTTGCTTCATATGTAACCTTTAGATTGATTTGCATCCAAACATATCCCAAATCTTTAAAACGAAAGTGCGTAAAGGAAAAGATAATTTTTTTAAAAATAGTTAAACAATTAAACAATTATGAATTTACATCATACAACATAAATTAAATTTATCACAGTGACCATCAAATTGTGACATAAATAGAATTTCCACTATGCTGGTCGGGAACATTAGCCTCTTCCTTAGAATATAAAAATAGCAGCCAGTGGCTTGTTATATTAATACCAAAAATGTAATGGCCTATCATAATATTAATATGGAGCTTTCATTTGAATCTAAAAATACTAGTGGCTTGTTATTCCAAAAATGTCAATGATACAAGGATTTTATTGGATAGAAACAATATATTAAAAAAATGATCTTTCATTAAAATTTACTTTTTTTATTGTAATGCATTCTAATTAATTCACAATTAATAGCAGGTACAATTTTTACATTAATGGTTGTTATTGATTAACCAAATATAAAGCCATCACATCTTGTGTTAAAATAATTATTGTAAATACACAACTGTTAAAAGAAAAATAGTTTAAATCAACTAAGCTTTTACATGTCTAAAGAAAAGTAAAAGGAACTTTAGAAAAGCCTTTATCACTTCTAAAAGGGCTGTTTATTTATTTATTTAAATCATATCATAAAGTATGTCACAGATTTTCAAAGCTTTCTAGGTGCAAGAAAGCAGAAAATTGTTAAGCATTAATTGCAATGAATTGATGAATGTAGCTAAAGTTAATTCAAATTCTGCATCATATATTGCACAATAGACAGTGTGTGCAAAAAAAATTCCATGCCATAACTTTCATTATCAGATAATGGATTAACAACATTTTGTAATTCATTAAATTGTTCTAAATTAATTGGAGATCCTACATCTGAAAAATTCAATCCCTCATTGTCATTTGATGATGTTGGACCATTCCATTCTATTCCATATTCTGTCTGATCAATATTCACCTCTTCTGAACTTAATGGTACTTCATCAGTAATACCCCTAGCACCTCTTAAAAGCACTCCACTGAGAAACATTTGTTTTGGTGAAAAGTGTTGTTCAGATGAGATTGAATGACAATTCCATTGGTTTTGAAAAATCAGAAGAGCTCTATTAATGATTGGTTTATATACATAGTGAAGACACCATATATGTATATTATTATTTGGATCTAACCCATATTCATTTTCAAGGTGAATAAAAATATGATAATAAAGTTTTAGGACAATGCGATAAACATCTCTCCATAAACGTTCTATTCTTTGATTGTGGACTGACCGGCCAAAAATATAGCTTCCCCTATTCATTCCACGATAATTAACCATCCATTCACCTACAAGAATATTTTCACCACCACGATCACCTCGACATCTATGTGGGATACCCCATTCTCCTGTTGCTTTAAGAAATAGTTGCAATACAGTTTCTGCTCTGTTGTTGGTATTACATTGTAAACCTGTTACTGCTCTACTATATCCATCAATAAAACCATGAATTACAAATTTCCATCTAATTAACTTATGGTTTCCATCATTATGCCACAATGAGTTTGGACCAGCAACACTATAAGGTTGGCGAATTATAAAATTTGATAATCTAATATTTGGACCAATTGGGTCAACTCTATATATACTACTACGAACTCGATATCGTTGAATATGGTATCCCATACTTGATAATAGCCCTCGGATTAGGGATTCTCCAGTAAATGGTTGTTCAATTTTAATCCTTGCTATTAAAGCATCTAATTCATTATCAGATATAGTTGAAAATGGATTTAAATCATTAGGTATTCCTAATTCATCTCTTCGCCTTTTCAAAGTCCTTGCTGATATGCCAAGAACACATGCAATATCTTTCCATGTAAAATTATTTTCTTTTAATGTGACAACTAAATCTCTTGATACTTTAAATTTTGGTGCACCTCCTGTCTTAACTTTTTCTATGATCAAGATAGCTGAAGTTTCATTATCACTTGTTTGTTCTATTGCTGCAAGAAGTTGATGCCTTAATTGTTGAAGAGAATCAATAATAGCATTTATGTATGACTGGATAAAAATCTGATCAAGTGTTAAAAAAAATTGCTGTAATTGATCAATTCTTTCAGCATAATATGTTAATCTATGATTATCACCTAAATAAAAAAATCAATTTATCAGTAAAAAAATTCATTGTTTTTACTTCTGACAGGCAGTTTTTCATTTAATTTAAAGTTTATAATAAAAATTCCAATTAACCTTGTAAATTATTCAATGTGAAGATTGCATCATTTATTGTTCTTGATGATTGTTGTCTAAATTCTTCTATATCATTCAATAAATTTTGATTTAAAATATTTGACATTTTTATATAATTTTATTTTTTTAAAAAAAATTTAATTGATTTTTATGTTTAATCATTGTTTTCTTTAGAAGGTTAAATTAGATCTAAAAAGGCAAATATGCATGCAATGTAATTTCTGTAACAATGGTTTTTATGAAAATATTTATTATATTTTATATTTTAATATTTTATTAAGACCACGCGATTTACATATCTACATTAGGTGCATATCTATTTTTGCAACCCAATTACTTAGATTATAAAAAAATAAAGGTTATTTATCCTATGAATCAATAAGATTTTGGAAAATGAGAAAAATATTTTTATTGTTCAGTTATTTTAGTTATTTTCGTTCATGCGCGTGAAATTCAAATTAGCCAATCATAATTTTGTATCCACCACCCCAAAATTTAATTAATTCAATTAATTCGCAAATTTGATTTTATAAGCATGGTGGACATTCTATGTTGTCACATTTGTGCAACGATTAACAAAACAATTTTATCACCTGATGTAGTGCAAAT